ATAAGTGGTAAAGAGGCTCAGCACGAGGAAGCACAAATGGTAGATGAGGTTCTATGAAATTCTAAATGAGAGAAAATTGCTCACCGAAAAGGAACACCTACCTTGGCCTGTTATGTGAGCAAAAAACTCTACCATGTTTGAGCCATTATTCCTTTTGGGATTTCTTTAGCCCTGGAGCCAGGCCTATGCTAACTCACAGGACCAAGATTTTATGTCATAGGACATTAAATCATTTGGGTGCCAGAATTCTGCACCTTCATCCTTGAGAATAGAAAAGGGACTAGTGGAAAGAGAGGGAAGCAGGGAAGGAATAATAATGTGAGTAACTGTAAGTATTTGCTGCCTATATAACCATGTGCTGAGCCCTGTGTTAAATGTGTTAACACATTCAGTCTCATTTAACTTCGTCTCTTTCTCATGACAATTTTAGCAATTGTACTATTATTATCTACATTGTTCGGATGTGAAAACTGAGGCCAGGTTGCAGAACTCAGGAAGCCATGATTCAAATTTGTTGACTCTGTAGCCCAAGCTCTGGTTGAGTACTCACTACTGTGTGCTGGGCCCTTTGTGCAATTTTGTCTTCACAATGCTTGTAAAATAGGCTCTTATCTCCATTTTAGAGATGAAGAAGCTGAGGCTTAAGGATTTATCCTAGCTTACACAACTAGCACAATTCAGTCCAAGATCTGTGTAGCTTCCTCTCAAGCTCATTTTTTTCCCAGCATGCTTTGAGGTCAGACTATAGATAGAGGGGGGAGGTCAGCTGGATGGAGTTTCCCTCCATTTCTGGGCCCCAGTTGTCTTGGAGGTTAATCTTTTAACTCTATGACCACATGACCACTCCAGTCATCACTATTTACCAGCTTTGGAGATACCGGGATTTCTGCCAGATAACGTTCACCAGATTCCCCGTGACATGGAGGCTATTTTTCACGCTGGCTGGGCCTAAATATCAGTCCATCCTTTGTCACAGCCTCACTGCACGGAGAGTTCCCTCAGCCAGGGTCAGATCAGTCATGTTTAGGCCAAAATGCAGCATGGAAGTCAGTGCCATGGAAGCACATTTTTTAAGGAGTAAAGGGTTTATGTACAGCAGGAATTGTAGCAGACCTCAGTCCACAAATCTACCTCAGAAACTCCTGAGGTCAAGGAGGGCCACTAGGAATCTTATTGTTGATCCTCTGAGAAAAGGCACTATAGGAATATCTGGGCGGATCAGGACACTGGAACTTACTTCAACAAAGGTGGAGAGAGGGAAACTGCCCCACCCTCTCACTACATCCCTCCTGGCCCCTATAATGGATGGTTGACACATCAAGGAATCCCTTGAAACCCCGCCCCATTTCTTCTCCCTCCTGACTTAATCTGGAGGATTACTGGCATTTCTATAGTCCATATCCAGGGAAATGGTCAGTGTTCACAGTGGGACAAGGTGGTGGGATCACATAACCTCCTGGCCTATGCCATGAACCTGAAAGACCAAGGCCAAGAAGCCACAGGCCCATATTCATTCATTCAATCAATAGACATTTGTAGTTGAGAGAAAGCACTGAAGTCCCTGAAGGAGCCAGAGGTTCTCTGCAATGCAGAGCCAGCTGAGTCACAGTGGAGACTTCAGAGAAATGGCAGAAGGCTGCCCTGGTGCCCACGGGGAGTGAGCCCATCAGGTTTTCATGTTTCCCAGGACCAAGGCTGCCATGGCAATAGCCCTATATGGTTCCAGAGTGTCGGGAGAGGCAGGAAGAGAGGGTTACCAAAAGGTCACACTCTTTCATATGGAAAATCAGGAGAATACAGAGGGTTATGGGAAGGGGAGTGCCCACAGTACTTACAGTCATGCACATCCAGCCTACAGATGGTAGACAGAGTGAGTCTTTGCTAATAGTGGTCTGGTCATGTCATCCTTTCCTGACTTTCAATTACTCTTAGGATTAAGACTAAACTTGTTACTGTGTACTACTATAAGCCCAATTTATTCCATGTGCCATGACTCCATACTCTCTGGAGCTCAGAGTGTGATTATTTTATAGCCTATAAACTCTATGAAGACTAAATTTATGTCTTTTCAGTCATCATTTTTATTGCACTTAAGTTATTTGCTTCACACAGATGGTGCTCAGTCAATATTGGTTGGTTGGTTGGTTGGTTGATTGATTGGTTGGTTGGTTGGTTGGTTGATGAGTGACTGCCCGAGACACAATATTCTAGCAACAGGGTCCTCTGGGTGGCTCAGTCAGTTAAGCATCTGACTCTGGATTTCGGCTCAAGTCTCATGGTTCCTGATATTGAGCCCCACATTGGGCTCTGCACGTAGCCAGCTTGGGATTCTCTCTGTCCTCTCTCTCTCTCTGCCCCTCCTCTGCACTCTGTCTTTTTCTCTCTTTCTCCCTCTCTCTCTCTCTCAAAATAAATAAATAAACTCAAAAAAATTTTTAGCAACAAACTTATATGGGTGCTGGAACAAAACACTTCTGTGATTGTAACCCAATCCCTATTTTCCCTGTGGTTGGGACAGTATGAGAGATGGGCATAGATCATACACCGATGTTAAAGATTAACAGCAACAGGGGTGCCTAGGTGGCTCAGTCTGTTGAGCGTCCGACTTCAGCTCAGGTCATGATCTCACATTTCATGGGTTCGAGCCCCACATCGGGCTCTGTGCTGACAGACAGCTCAGAGCCTGGAGCCTGCTTCAGATTCTGTATCTCCCTCTCTCTCTGACCCTCCCCTGCTCATGCTGTCTCTCTCTCTCTCTCAAAAATAAATAAAATATTAAAAAAAAAAAGATTAACAGCAACAAGGGCTTCCATCAAAGACTTGCCAACAAAAGTGAGTTTAACTAATTCAAATGGGTTTTAGAAAGAGGTGGAAATAGGTCAACGAATGAACATAAGAAATGATGTTTCACTCACCACGTAGCCTTAAAATGACTCAGGAACACCACCAACTTTTCAGGTCCCTCCCTTTTACAATGATGGTACAACCCAGGGTCAAGAAAATGAGGCGGAAGTGCTGAGTATAAAAGGCCTGCCCTGCTGTCAACAGGACGCCAGGCAATCCAGTATGTCTAGAGAGGCTTTACGAGGCCGCCTTGGTCAGGGCTCACTGCCAAGCATTATCAGGCCACAGCCCTCAGAGTTTATCTCATTTCTGCCAGCACTGGGTATGTGACAGTTTTAATTTTGGTTCTTTCCCTATGGTAGTAGGCTTCACACCAGAGTTTCACTCAAGATGGACTTTGAATATGGTGTACCCTGGAGGGCTTAATAAAAGACAAGTGGCGAGAAAGGCAGGGCACCTCAGTAGGGTTAATGAGGACTAAGCGCAACCCCGGGCACTCCTTGTTGAATAAGGAAGTATTTCCTGGATAATAAAAAAGAAAAACTGGCACCAGACTTAACACAGTGGCAGGAAGGTACTAACAGCACATGTGAATGGAGCTCCTATTGGTGGAAAAATAGTGACCAGTGACTAAACATGGGTTTATTGGTTAAACAAACTCGTGCAAAGGTATCTATAGAGCGTTATTATCATTTAGCTGCAGAATTTTACGTATGAGAATGATACTGTTTATAAGGAAGCAGTTTTTTACTGTATTTTCCAGTGCTGGTACAATATCAGCAACATGTTAACCGTCAGGGCTTCCCTTAGATACTCAGCCGCACAGATGAGCAACTGTTATTTAAAAGACGTGCAGTGGAAGCCCTAGATGTGGGGAGATAGATAGAAAGGTTTAACACAGATTCAGTGAGTTTTGCCTTTGACAAACCTCACTCTCCACAGGAGTAGGTGGTTTATGTTCTCAATACTGGATTTCACAGTTATTATCTCAAGCTCCCACTGTCTCCTACTTACTAAGAAATTCTATTTGTTTTCTGTTTTTGTTTTGTTGCTTTTTTTTCTTTTGAGAGAGAGAGAGAGAGAGAGATAGAGGGCACCCCAGCAGGGAATGGGCAGAGGGAGAGGGAAAGAGAATCATAAGCAGGCTCCACGCCCGGCACAGAGCCTGATGTGGGGCTGAATCCCACAACTCTGGCATCAAAAACTGAGCTGAAACCAAGAGCCGGATGTTTAACCAATTGAGCCACCCAGGCATCCCAAGAAATCCTATTTGAAAAAGAGTTTATTTTGAATATTTCCAGTTTTTAAGAGTCAATACCAACTATGCAGAGGATGAGTTACTCAGTTTTGAAGGTGAACTGTGGCAAAAACAATAGTTTTTTGGGGGAGAGGAAATGTAATGTGGATGAGCCAGTAAAGAATACAAATTAAAAATCAATAAATCAGCATATGAGATGTAGAAGGGGAAATTGTTTGAAATTACATAGCAACTTTTAGATGCCAAATTTTGTCTCCTGAGACATGGTGCGCGCTGGGAGTTTCACCTTGCTGGATAGGCTTATTGCTGCTGAGGCAGAAAAACAGCAGAACACAGGTGGCTGCGGATTCCAGTAACACAGACTTGGGGCTGAGAGCCGTGGCTGTCACCCCAGATGCTCAGGAGAATCATCACCTGTGGGGGGCCTTTAAACCCACAGTATTCAAGCACTACCCCCAGAGATTCAGATTTCATTCTTCTGGGGTATGTTGTCAGTATTATTCATAAAGCTCCCCAGGCAGTCCCACTGTGAGTTAAGACTAAGAAACCTGGGGCTAAGAATGGAAGATACAGGTGAGGAAGGGAAGAGAGAGAGAGAGGGCACACGGCTGGGCATCAATTCTCCACTCAGCTCAGAGAACGGCAAGAACAACAAACCTACTGTGACAGTTAAATGTTTCACCAAGCAGTTTGTGTCGTGTCTAGTGTTCATGAAGACTAATGTACTCACACCGTTTGTACACTTCTGGATTGTGTCTGTAAGTACTGGAGGTGATTTTAACTGCCAGGCTTATGTTAAATTCATTTCATTATAGTCATGTTTTATATTATCCACAACCTCTTTTCTCGTCGTTCTGGTGAATTGAGAGATGACTCTCCTGCAATCACATCCACTTACTTTAATTCCTTGTAATCCGTAGCCAGGGGGGCCAGGGGGGCCAGGCAGGCCTTTCTGTCCAATAGCTCCCTGTTGGAAGATGAAGAGAGATGGAAGATGAGTATGAGAAGATTTAGGAAGAAACCATGTATCCCTGCTCTTGTCTTCCTTCTTACTTGAGTTCGCTCAGGACCTGCATCTGTGCACCCCATAAGTTATATCATATTTTTTATAAAGCAGTGTTTTCCCCAAAAATTTAAGCCATAGAATCCTTTCTGAGAATCTGACACATAATCCAAATAAAAGTAAAGAGGGCAAGGCGGGGCTGCTTGGCCTAAGCCGAGTGCTGTCCCAGTTGCCTTGTGTGCTTGGCTCCTCTGGCTGAACCTACCACCCACCCCTAGAACGCCAGGGGTGTGAACACCGCTCACACATCATTCTGTGTAGCCTCCAGTGTGTTGTTCCATTTCACCACTGAGTGCTATTCGCCAGGGTTGCCATTAAAGATTCAGTGGATCAGTATCAAATTTTTAAGAAAATCTGCAGATGAAACAAAACGTGTAGCTTTGTCCAGGATGTGTATTCTACTGCACAAGTTAACCCCATGTTTCTTGGGGGAAAGCGTTCTGAGGTCAAATGAGATTTGAAAATGTTCTGTACCATGGTCTGTGCCTCTCCTTGGAGATCCCTACCGCATACAGGCGTACCTTGTTTTATCGTGCTTCGCTCCTGCACCTCCCAGATCCTGCATCTTTTACAGATTGAAGGTTTGTGACAACCCTGTGTCAGGCAAGTCTATCGGTGCCATTTCTCCAATAGCATTTGCTGACATCCTGTCTCTGTGTCATGTTTTGGTAATTCTCGCAATATTTGAAACTTTTTCATTATTATTATATTTGTCATAGTGATCTCTGTTCAGTGATCTTTTTTTAAAACTTTTTTATTTTGAGAGAGAGAGAGAGAAAGAGAGAGAGAAGACAAGTGGGGGAGGGGCAGAGAGAGAATCCCAAGCAGGATCTATGCTATCTCCTTCTTATTAAGAAATTCTATTTATTTTCTGAGAGAGAGAATGCACATACGTGTATATAAATGAGACACAAAGAGAGAGGGAGAGAGAGCATATGCATAAGCAAGGGGCAGAGATAGAGAGGGAGAAAGAATCTTAAGCAGGCTCCACACCCAGTGCAGAGCCCAACACAGGGCTAGATCTCAGGACCATGAACTCATGACCTGAGCTGAAATCGAGTGAGAGGCTTTACCGACTCAGCCATCCAGGTGCCCCTGATCAGTGATCTTTGATGTTACTAGCGTGATTGGCTTGGGGGGGGGGGGGGCAACACACCATGAACCACACCTGTATAAGACAGCGAACTTAACTTAATCCATCAATGTTGCCTGTGTTCTGACTACTCCACCAATGGGGACATGCCCCTGTCTCTCTCCCTCTCCTCAGGCTTTCCTATTCCCTGAGAATATTAGGGGCTGATGTAGCTTGTGACTTGAAATTGAAGCCAGTGATCATTTACCATTTCAAAAATCCTAGGGCTCTTAAGAATTATGCTAAGTCTACTTGGCTTATGCCCTATAAGGAGAACAATAGTGCCTGGATGACATCTGTTTACAACATGGTTTACTGAATATTTTAAACCTACTGTTGAGATTTACTGCTCCAAAAAAAAAAAAAAAAAAGATTCAAAATATTGACAGTGCACATGGTCACCCAAGAGCTCCTGATGGAGATAGACAACGAGAATAGTGTTGTATTCATGCCTGCTAACACAGTATCTGTTCTGCAGCCCACGGATGAGGGCATAACTTTGACTTTCAAGTCTTATTTAAGAAATACAGGCGCACCTTGGTGGCTCAGTTTGTTAAGCGTCTGACTTCAGCTTAGCTCATGATCTCACGATTGATGGGTTCAAGCCCACATCAGTCTTAGAGCCTGGAGCCTGCTTCAGATTCTGTGTCTCTGTCTCTCTCTCTGCGCCTCCTCTACTCATGCCCTGTCTGTCTCTCTCAAAAATAAATAAACATTAAAAAAAAAAAAAGAAATACATTTTGCAGGGCACCTGGGTGGCTCAGTCAGTTAAGCATCTGACTTCAGCTTAGGTCATGGTCTCCAGGTTCTTAAGTTTGAGGCCGGAGTCAGGCTCTGAGCTGATGATGCAGAGCTTTTAGGGATTCTCTCTCTCCCTCTCTTGCTGCACCTCCCCTGCTTGTTCTCTCTCTCTCTCTCAAAATAAATAAACATTTAAAAAAAATACATTTTGTTGTAAGAAATCTGAAGAATTACTGAAATGAAAACAAAAAATTTAGAATATCACATAAACTTAGTTGGTAAAGCAGTGACAGCATTTGAGAGGATGACTCCAATTTTGGAAGAAGATCTATTCTGGGTAAAATGCTATCTAACGCGTGCTACAAAGAAATCGTTTGTGAAAGGAAAAGTCAATCCATGCAGCAAACTTCACTGTTGTCTTATTTTATGATGTTGCCACAGCCACCACAGCTTCCAGCAACAGCCACCTTCGTCTGCCAGCAACTGTCAACAAGGAAGGAAGACCTTCGACCAGCAAAATGATTACAACTCACTGAAGCTCAGATGATGGTTAGCTTTTTAGCACTAAAGCATTTTTAATTAAAGTATATTCATTGGTCTTTTTTAGACATAATGCTATTGCACCCTTCATAGGTTAGAATATAATGGTTTTATATGCACTGGAAAACAAAAAACTCACTTGACTCTCTTTATTATGGTATTTATTAGGGTGGTATGGAAATGAACCCTCAATGTCTCCAAGGTATGCCTATATAAATATATGAAAACCTCTAAAAAGTGGCACAATAGAGAGATTAGCTTATCTTTGCTTATTTCAGAAGTTCCCAAATTAACATTCGACGGAACAAGCTTTGAGCAATCCTGGATTAATATAAGTTACTGGGTAAGTCAGTTTTTTTTTATTTTCTGCTTTTTTTCTGATTGTAAGAGGAACACCTGCTCATTTGGGGAAAAAAAAACTAATTAAAAACAGAAATAAAGACAACAATGAAGAAGGAAAAATAGACCCCTCTTTCCACCACTCAGTGATAACAACTACTAACATCTTGCATATATCTTCATCCATATCAAGTGATCCATAGAGTTAAGAAATTGCCTACTGCCAAAATGAAGTTGATGGACAACGAAGGATAAACTAAGAATCTTGGCAATTCTGGGATCCTCAGTAAAATCTTTGACTCATAAAGCCTTTTCTCTTTCCTCTCTGATAATGGGGCTCTAATTCTTCTCTGTGCAGCTTGGCATGAATATACGTGTTTGAAATTTGCATTTGTTATGGGAGGCTCATTGACACCTGTTTCCCCTATGAACATGCCTGACACCTCCTTATTTTAGTTTTTGAACGAATCAAAAAATTGTTTGTTGAGCATGTGAATCAACAACTAAAACAGGGCTTCTCAGCCTCTGACTTATTGCCATTTTGAGCTGGCTAATTCTTTGTGACGGGTGCGATTCTGTGTACAGTACGATGTTTAGCAGCACACTAGCTGCCAGTGGCACCCGTTCCCTGGTTGTGACACCCAAAAATGATTGCAGATGTTGCCAAATGTCTCCCTGCGGCAGAGTGGGAGGGCAAGAACTCCCTCACTGAAAAACACTTGATTAAGAGAATGAAAGATGGATAATCACCAAAATGGAGATGGCAAAAGAAAAATAGGAATGAGACCAAAGGGATCCAGAGGCAGTCTCTCTCACCTTCCATGGAGACAATAAATCTGGACCCTTGCACTGAGGCCCTGACAGGGTGGACTACCTACATATGTCGCAATAGATAGATTCGCAGGTGTTCTGTTAAAAGGCCAGCTGAGGCAGCTCTGACCAAGGTAAAGATATGCTTCTTCAGGATGGCACAGCCTTTAAGAAACCTGGAAGTATTCTGAGCATTTTGCAACTACTTTCTTAAGAGACACTGCCTAATTTCTTTGGGGGAAATAAACGGCTTTATAAACTTAAATGATCTATTTTACTGAAAGCTCACATAGTATGAGAAAGTAAGACTTTTCATCAGCACTCAAGAAAAAATGAGTCAACGCTAAAATAAACACTTGCTATGAAGTTCATGTTGACTTGGTTGGCACGAGTGGTACCTGACCTTCACCCAGAGCACAGACTTTAAGACTCACCTTTGGCCCCTGGGTTCCTATGCCCCGAGGCCCAGAGGGTCCTGGAGGGCCTCTGACACCAGGCTCTCCCTGAAAAGGCACAATGAAAGACAGGTTACTGATTAAAAAGAAAATTTATATTATACATTTTATATAAAATGTCGTATTTCGGGGCGCCTGGGTGGCTTAGTCGGTTAAGCGTCCGACTTTCGCTTAGGTCATGATCTCGCGGTTCGTGGGTTCGAGCCCCGCGTCGGGCTCTGTGCTGACTGCCAGCTCAGAGCCTGGAGCCTGTTTCAGTCTGTGACTCCCTCTCTCTCTGACCCTCCCCTGCTCACGCTGTCTCTCTCTCTCTCCTAGAAATAAATAAAAAAAACATTAAAAAAAAATTTTTTTAAATAAAATGTCGTATTTCATATGAACTTTCCTATAGGAAAATATATTTTAAAACCCAAACCCTTGAATTTGACTGAGATATTAATTGGGGCCTTTTCTAACCAGATCACTTTCCTATTCTTGACAAAGGGAGTGTTATCGCCCTTTGTTGTCACTTCTTATTGCCATTTATGCAATCTTCCAGCCAATTGATATGGGTCCACTTCAAAGCGACCAAATCAGTTAACTTCTTGACAACATACTAGGTACTTTTTTCAGAGCTCCCCTCTCCGGAATTGAAAGAAGTGCCACCATTGTGAGTGGAGAGAGAAAGAAGAGACTAGAAGAAAAAGAAATGACTGAAAGATAGAGCCCCATCCTAAACTAGCTGCTCCTGTTGTTTCACACAATAGAGATGAAGCTTCTTGGGGTTATGGATGAACTTTGTGATACTTCTGCCCTAAGAGCAGTTGTGGCCGCAGGACAAGTTCTATAAAGGCTTTTCAGAGTGCTCAAAGCATTTTAGAACAGGCAACTAGCCCAGAAAAGTGGTGGGGCCTGATCAGAGTAGCTCGGCCCTGTGGCTAGCCCCATGTGAGATGTGAATCATAGGAAGAAGCAGAGAAATAAAAATCTCTTCATCAAGCACCTTCTATGTACCCAGCACTGTGGTCTGCATGTTCACATATGCCGAGTGATGTTATTTAGTGCTCGCAACAACTCTGTATCTCAGCGATGACTAACTCACCTAACTTCTCTGAACCTCAGTAAATTCATCAGATACACAGAAACTCATACTTACATTTCATGGGAATGACGGAGAAGTGAGACAGAGAAAGTGACTGTGTCTGTTATAATGTCTAGCTGAGTAGGTACTTGGGAAATGTTAACTCCTTATGGCTGCTTTTATCTTTTTAAAAAATTTAATGTTTATTTATTTTTGAGAGAGCCAGAGAGACAGAGTGTGAGCAGGGAAGGAGCAGAGAGAGAGGGAGACACAGAATCCAAAGCAGGCTCCAGACTCTGAGCTGTCAGCACAGAGCCTGATGCGGGGCTCGAACCCACAAATCATGAGTTCAGGAGCTGAGCTGAAGTCAAATGCCTAACCAACTGAGCCACCCAGGTGCCCCTCATTGCAGCTCGTATTAATGAGGAAATTAAAGTTAGCCCCAGCTGCACAGCTATTGAGAAGCAGGAGTAGGAGGACATGGAAGAGGAGGAATCCTCATAAATTGCTGGCACAGCCACTTTGGAAAACAGTTTGGTAGTTTCTTAAAAAGTTCAACATCAATTTACCGTATGATCTAGTAATTTCACTCCTGCATCCAAGGGAAATGAAAACATATGTCCACACAAAGACTTCCATATGAACGCTCTTAGCAGAATTGTTCATAATAGCTAAAAACTAGAAACAACCCAAATGCCCATCAACTGATAAAGGGATCGACAAAGTGTGGTCTATTCCACAATAAAAAGGAAGGAACTACCACTACATGCTACAACATGGATGAACCTCAAAAACATTATTCTCAATAAAAGAAGCCAGATACATGAGACCACACATTGCTTAATTCCATTTGTGTGAAATGTCCAGAGAAGGCAAATCCGTAGAGATAGAAAGCAAATCTGTAATTGCCTGCGACCAGAAATAGGAACGAGGAGAGGATTAACTGTAAATGGGCATAAGAGATTTTATTGAGGGGAAGAAAATGGTCTAAAGCTGATTGATGGTGAGGCCAGACAACTCGCTTAATGTACTTTAAAAATCACTGAAAAATACACTTGGAATGGGTGAGTTCTGTGATACAGTATGCCTCAGTGAAATTATAAAGAAAAAAAGACAGAAAGCGAAGCCAGGCTTTGAAGGTAAATTGCCCAAGATTTTGTCCCAGGTCCATTTTCATCCATGTTCTGTTAGGAGCTAAACAGCTTATAGATTTCAACAGTGTAAAGATCATGGATTATAAGAAATGATGACATTTTTCAATCTAGCAAAACAGCCCATCCTTAATTAACTTTACTTTCTATGTATAAATCCTAAAATACTTCTAGGGAAAACAAGGCCTTAAAAGAATTGGGAAACATTTTAACGTGATTTTATTACCGACTTGATTCTTTTTAATCTCTATTTTCATAATTACCTATTTTCCTTTTGCTTGCAGGCCACTTTTATGATTCTTGTCTCCTGTCTCCATCTCTTCCACTTAGTTCTTAGCTGCTTTTGTGACCACAGGTACTAATTCTCTAACACCTCTCTCCTCTGACCCCCAACTTTTAATGACCCCCAGATTCTCCCAGCTTAAATGATCTCTCCTATCATCAAGAGCTCCAAGTAGAGGACATGAACATGTCCTGTATCACACGATACTGTCTCTCCTTTCTTGAGTATCTCTGATGTACCCTTAGAGGCAGTATCTGTGAGTTCACTGAGGGATGGTCAGCAGCTGTACCTGACTCACACGTGCTGCATTTGACATCCTCCAGCAAAACAGAACCCAGGTAAACACAGTTCAGTAGATTTTACCCAAAATCATTCAATGTTTTATCAAAAATAATTGTCTTCTTTGCTTTGTTACTGTCAACCCCACCCCAGATACAATGACTCCCTCTCTTGTGTTTCTATTCACCTCTGCCCTTCCGTGGTGAGGTTGGAAAACATCCGGCCGCAGCCTACTGTGTGTTGAGAAGTATACAGCCCCACCTGGGAAGCATTCTGCTAAGAAAAACAGAACCTGTATCTGAGCAAGTCTCTAAATCTGAAGATATAGAACCAGAGGATGTTTCTATGCAACCTAAAGATGTAGAAACATGTAACATCATAAGAATAGAGTGGACAAAGTGTGACTGGGTGGCTCAGTGAATTAAGCATCCAACTTTGGCTCAGGACATGATCTCATGGTCCATGAGTTCAAGCCCTGCATCAGGCTCTGTGCTGACAGCTCAGAGCCTGGAGCCTGCTTTGGATTCTATGTCTCCCTCTCTCTCTGCCCCTCCCCTGCTCTCTCTCTCTCTCTCTCTTTCTCAAAAATAAACATTAAAAAAATTAAGAAAAGAATAGCTAGGACAAGACCCTCAAGGACAAAGAACTCATCTACACAGAAAGCCCAAAGAAAAAACAAAGGATGACTAACTTTTGATTAAAAGAGATTTAAGAAGTGTCTCAATCAAATGCAATGTGTGGACGTCATTTCGATCCCAATTCAAACAAACCAACTGCAACAAATTTGTAAGACACACTGGTAAATTTGAACACTGGATATTCAATGATACTAAGAAATTATTAATGTTTAAGGTTTGCTAATGATACTACAATTGTGTTTTTAAAAGGAGCTTTTACACTGAGTGTTATGTAGAAACTAATTTGACAATAAACTATTTGTAAAAAAAAATAAAAAAATAAAAAAAATAAAAAAAAAAGAAAGTCAAAAAATAAATAAATAAATAAAAGGAGCTTTTATATCTGAGATACAAATGCTAAACCTTTATATGGGAGATGTTTGGGATTGGCTTCAGAGTAATGCAGCGGGAGAAGGGGAGAGGATAATAGAAGATTGGCCACATACTGATAATGGTTGAAATGAGACATACAAATGGGAGTTCATTTTACTAGCCTTTCTACTTCTGTATGTGCTTGATAATTTTCAGAATAAAATGCTTTTAATAGTATTTTTTAAATCTATGAACAATATCTGATAAAAATCTGACCTGTGAAGGTCAGGAAAGGTTGCTGTGATGTTCACCTTTAATGAGGACAAGAATACAAGATTTTAAAGACAGAAAGATGGGCAAAGGGTAAAAGCACACAAGCGGATTCAGTATCATTAGAGCATACATGTCTTTGATGCATTCTTGGCATGTCCCAAATGGTATATAACTTTTAAAAATTAAGTATATGGAGGCAAGGTAAGAGATTTTGTTTTTATTGAGTAAATATTTCTTTTAAGAAAGAATTCAACCCTCTACAGTTTAATTCATGGTATTTTTTTTTTTTTTTGGTGATGGTTTTAGTTAGAACTTCCTTCTCAATTAGTATTAATCATACACATACACACACACACACACACACACACACACACACACACACACAGACCAGTTGGGAAAGCAAGGGGGAAAACAGGTGAAATAAGTTGTGAGTATACTTTAGGCCAGTCTTGTACATGGTCATTACTGCTACTCATTCTCTTTCTTACTCAGCTCCCTCTCATCATGTAGGAGTCCCTGCAGGCTGAGTGTAGACCTTGTAGACACCTTATTGCTCTCTCTATCCTTGAACCTTGGCCAATGAACTCTGAGAGTATGATTCCCACAATACCTGTGATGCTTCAGTGTTTGCCTCAAACAGGCTGTCCATCTTCATGCATAAAACTGTTGACCTATAGCTGTGCTTTACCTATCAAAATCATCTTTTGTAACCTTTTGACCTAGCTACATATGTGATATATGCATCTGATATACAGATAGTCTTCAAACCAAGTCTTATCTTAACATATTCTGCAGATGTTAGAGTTGGTCTGTAACATGGTGTTAGGGTTGTTCTTGGTGTTTCTGCACTATACTTTTCAATAGGTGGGAATATCACTTAATGAACTTGTGATCCACATAGAGACTGTGTCTCTCTACTATGGTGGGGTCTTGAAAACGTATTATGTCTTTTGCTCCATGGGCCATGTGCCCATATGAGGCCACAACACTGGGTGAATGCATACAAGAAGACC